AGGAGCTAGGAAATTTAACAATTGTAATGTGATGGTCACCCTTTTCCTTTCTGTTTTGTATGGACTTTAATTGACCAACCATCAAGAAAAAATGCTTTGAAGCTATACAGTTAAGCAGTATAAAAAGCAAGACAGAACTACCAGAAGCCACCCTGCACCCAGCTCATGAGTGAAGGACCCAATGCCCTGTGAAAGCTTTAAAGATAAGAACTGCTTCCTGCAGTTAGTTCCAAAGTTTATCCTAAAGTTAGTCCCAAGTTACTGTGCAGTTAGTCCCAAATCAGTCCACGCACACAGTGTTACTGCGCATGATGCAGGTATCAAATTTACGCCCAAGTTGCCATATTTATTATGCAGTATGGGCGTGCACGTGTAGATGTACCGAGCAGTAATTTTGTTTACTTGTGCAGTAAATGCACACATGTAGCTGTGTCCTGTATATAGTGCTTAAAAACTACTATAAGAGAATTGTGTAATTTATCTCCAAAAGAAACTCTCCATTTATTGGAAACCCAATTTAATAAGTAAGCAGCAACAATTGCTCCATCAACTTTGATGTTTTTATTCTGTGGCACCTGTATAGTTTGTTTTCCCGAGTACTCATGTTAACACAGACATTGTATGCTGTCTCTCCAAGGACTTGACTGAAATCACAGACTTACATGAGTACTTTTCAAGTTATGCTTTAACTAGTTCATACAATTTTTGTAAATGATAATGCACGAAAAGAAGAATTCAACAAGACATTCCCTCAAATATAGCAGTTTGACACTATATGACAAGCTTACCTTATGTTCTGTGCTGAATCTAGGTGGGAAGTTTCTATGGAGCTGAAATACAGATGCAATGAAAAGTTAGATAGAAAAAAGCTATTAAACACAGCAACCTGACAAGATTTCAAGGTAGCTTACTAAACCTTTTCTGTACTATAATTGATAATATGTATTACACCTGTAGGTACATTTCTGCAAAACGTTGCTTGCATGTGACTAACATTACTTTTTACTTAGGAGGGGCAGAAACAGAGATATCAGTTTCTCTTTGCAGGAGAAAGTAATGGTGCTATAGTTGGGAGAATATCTTTGAATAAATAATTTTCCAAATAAGCTCATCCTCACATTTAGCTGGGAATGCACATGAGTAGTTTAAAAACACATAATGCACATAATACCTCAGACTTATCTGACCATTATCTCAGGGATGCTTTCAGTTTACTTTATTCGAAGCCCTTCCATCAGCATCAGGTTGAAAGTAAAATAGTCAAGTGTGACAAGCACTTTGCATAGTGTCTACATCAGGACAAGAGAGCCAAAGCTCAGGGTAAGAGGCTGTGAAAGCTCCTAAGAAGTGTAGGCTACCTTGTCCATATATGATCACTGTAATATGAAACACAGAACAAAGTATACTATTCCCTGGACTTGGGGGTTGCTTTTATATAAATGGGCCTTGGTAGAGGCAGTGTGGAAGACAGACGGTACTGTGTGCCAGGGTACTGTTTCTTGAACACTTATACTATCTTTTTACTATGTACTGTGGGCTGATGTAAGGGTGAAGAATCAGCCCAGCTCTTTTGGGATGACTGGTACTATCAATTTCATGCAATCTCTGATCTCAGGTGAGATGTGGAAGTTAGAAGAACCTATACTTTTCATCCTTTCCACTGGCACTGTCAGGGGAGTTAGTGGAATTGCTTTCATTCAGATTGCCAAAAAAGTACTACAAAGCCTGAATGACAATCACCAAAGAGGGTTGAAATAGCACTGTTTGAGGGGGAACACATATTGTGCACCAGCAACAACCAGTTCATTTGTTTCTCTTCAGGACTGGGAGATAATTAATCCAAGTTTAAGAGCGGACAAAAGCATGTCCTGGGATAGATTAGCTCAATGCAGCATCAGATCTACAAGGAGGTATAAAGACAGATGCTTTTGGTCCACTGTGGAGACTCTAGAACAGAATGGGGATTCCTTTGCTCCACGATAGTTTAGAAAAAAAATTATTCTGAGCCATATGATGAGGAAAGAGACTTGAGAAATCTTCTTGTTAATGATGAAAGCTATAACTTGGGCAAGAAGCTGACACAGGTGCAAAATACTTTTTACTTGAAAAACTGCCAGGGGAAGTTACAGGAAAGGGCTACAATCAATCCAATACAATCAGATGAGTTAATGGTTTCTTAAAACCACTTACTAACCAGGACAGGGTGTGAAAAGAGAAAGGAAGGAAGTTTTACCACCTGCACTTAACTGATAAAAATGGTCTCCAACAGTGGAGTCAGTTACAATAGAACATGTAGGGCAGGGACATTGAAGGAAAGCCCCCTCCCAAAATATTTTATTCATATGTCCACTTGCTGCTGGGACTTGAAGAAGTGTTTGTATGATCTCCCTTGTCATATAGAGACCTTCAGTAAATCCTGAAATGAAGCTATACCAAGGGAACCACATCCTGGTAAAATGTCAAAATCCCAACCACTAGCTTTTAGAATCAGAGGGAGAGAAGAGTTGACTGTTGAATGTCGTTTTGATTGACCCCATTTTTTATTTCTTTCCAGAGAAATGCATTCTTTTCCTCTTCTGGAAGTGATGTCCACTACTGAATGAGTAAGAGCTAGCAAACTTTTCTTTTTGCTCTGAAGACCCAGATTCATACACCTTAGCTTACAGAGGAAAAATGCCTGAGACGCTTATTGAGGGGTTCTTCCCTTTATGTACAAGTTGCCTGGGCACCCAGATTACATGTGTATTTTTAATATTCCTTCACTGTGTAGTTCAGGATGTTTCTAAGGAGGTAAAACACTGGCCTCTGGTAGGAGGAAGAACAGGTTAGTATTAGAAACACCCTGAAGAGGTCACAATAGGACAAGATGCAAAGTTCATGATCAGAAGCCTTGTGAGCTCCTGAGAAGTGTAACCTGATTCTAAAATGTTAAACAGTGAGAGTGACTGATATGGACTCTCCCTCAAGTAACCCTCTTGCTAGAAAAAAGAGGTGAAAACTCTCTCCTCAGAAGGAGTTCACTGCTTAACAGGAGAAACACCTAAATGCTTGAACCATAAACACCCATTTTTCTGGAGATATTCTCCTTGAATTATTTGATCCAAAACAGATGGAACAGAGGATGAGAGGGGTCCTGCCAAGGCAGTCTCCAGTTCCACATGTAAAACACCATTCAGGAAGGAACTAGGGAAAGGGACCTCTCATCACTTAAGGTAAAAAACTAAATAAATCCTTAGAAACAACTGAAGAGGGTATGGTGATTAGAGAGGGACATTTTAGAAGTATCTTGAGGAAGAGATGAAGGAGCAGGAGACTGTGAAGCCCTGGCCGATATACATATTATATCCTTGGCAGACACTGCAAAGAAGGGCACTTTCAGACAGGTTATAGGAAAAAGGCATTCCAAAGTGAAACACTGAATTAGGAGTCAAGCAAAGTGACTTCTAACAAATGAATTTATGAGCCTGAAACACTGGAAAATTTCCTGCGGAAGGCCTGACACACAGAACCACTGCCTGGGCTTGGAGTGACAAGAATGACAGCCTAAAACCCAACCAAATTTACTGCACTGGTGTGCTGGAACACTACATGTAACTTGATCCCAACATGGAGGACTGATGATCTCCATAGCAGCTTGGAAAAGATCTACACTTCGACTGGTTTGATTAGGTCCATTTTTCTTCCTTGAATAAAGAGCGAGGCAACAATAAAATAAGTCCAGTTGAAAGATCAGCCAGAAGCACAAGTAACTTCTTGAATCAAGTCAGGAAACAAACTGGATCACATACCTAAAGGGAGCCAGACAAGGGCCAGAGACAGAAGCAAATGTGCTTCATTCAGACTGGCACCTTCCTACATAATTGAAGGATAAGAAGATATAATCTGTCTGTCTATACCAGCAGTACATTTCCTGCTTTGAGACTGAGCCAGGTAATCTTAGGGCAATATATGCAGCACACAATGCACTGCCTACAGTGATAACATGCAAATCTCACCTCACTGGACATAAAGAGATGTAGAGCAAGATGAGAAGCACTGCTCCTACAACAGTGGCCAATGAAGATCTCATCCAGGAGCTAAGCTGGCAGAAGTTACAGTACTGAACAATGGTGATCAGAATCGCACAACACATAAACATGGTATACTGAAATGAAGAAAAAGAATGACAAGTTAGCCCTTTCTTGTTGATCAAAGAACCTATACATACAAACAGTTTAAATAAAGTAAGTTTACTGTCTCAGTGTAAACAACCCAATGTCCTTGACATAAAAAATTAGTTGCATATTAAGTAGTCTAATACATTGTCTTTTCAGTTAACCCAGATAACTTTTTCAGAACTTCAGCAAGCAGCATGAGACTAGAGAAGTTTTTGCAATTAGCAAGAAAGCTTCTACCATAAGTAATTTGTAAAACTTTTGCTAGAGAGTAATCTGAGTTACAGCTTTTTTTTATTGTAATTCCTTCTGCATCTCCAGTTTATCATTATACAGTATTGAGATCCTCTTGTTCAAGAAACTGAGTCTGAACATTCACAGATTACCATCATTTAATACTCCAGATTTCCTCATTAATTATTTTTTATAAGTTTTCTCATTAAATCATGCCTGAGTTTTGAACTAGATACTGGGTGGAAAGTATGAAACCTATTCACTCCCATACTGGCTGGCAGATTATTATTATTTCACTAACAGCTGAATTTAACGTGATAGTTCTTTTGATGAACAGAGGTCAGGCACAAAAACAAAAGTGTTGATTGGCATTTGCATTGACCTAAATGCACAGTACTAATTTTTTTTCTATTTAAGAAATCTCAGAAAATTTCCTATTTTCATATATTTACTACATAAGTTGCGTTTTCAGAAATATCTTAATTAAAATGCTCTTTATAGTTTTTCAAGATTTCTAAGTTTCTCCCCTTTTCTTTTATCAGGAACGGAATGGGAGAGCATGCTTTGTTACATAGCCACCAGGTAGAAAATGAAAATCTGAAATGTTATAGCACAACAGTTAAGCAAAACAGTAAGGGCACATTCCTATTCGTAGAATAGTTTATCCACTAAATACAAACTAATAAAGTTTACATAACTCATTTTTAAACCAAAAACAAAGATACAAATGGCTAAATGGAATTTTAAAATTTCCACACACAACTTGGTTTAAACTTACTTTTTTTCTCCCATTTTGGTCTCCTAAAGTGGCAGAGCACTGGTTCTCACTCCAAGTGATGCCCCAGCATGAAGCCAGCCTAGAGAGGGTCAGTAGGTGTCGTGTTTTACTACGTAAGCATGGCTTTGGAAAGTTTTTTTTAACAGAATTATTGTTACTTTATATCCAGGGAGGGTATAAAATGCTATGAATAAAAAAAAAAACTTTGCAAAACCATGTCATAGTAAAAGATGGCACTTACCTGACCCTCTATAGGTTCCATGTTCCCAGAGCTCCATAACTGTTGCAACTTCATTGAGTGTAGGGTTATCTGGGACATCTCTTGGAGTGTGAACCAACAACCCCACAACTCTGGGGGACCTGCAACAGAAAAAAGGGAAGTTCATAAATGGTCTTCTGCTGAATACAATGCTTTTACTCACTACTGCTTGGGGCATTCAATGGGTATGGCCCATGAGGTACAGAAAGACCCAAATCCTAGTGTTATCTTTACTTGATTTATTTTTTAAATAGTTAGATGATGATCAAGCACTGTGGTAACTGTGCAAGACAAGCCTATAAAGAAATCAAACAGTTTAAAGTGCTTGGCATTTCTGAGGATCAGACCTATGATTCTACCATTTCTAATTAAGAAAACTGTAGTTTATTTCCTTCAATTTAAATATATAGTTAAAAGGTGGTAGTATCTTCACTTTCATTTGTAAATTGCTGAACGGAAAAATAGCTAGAAACCCATTTTGAAGAAGGTCAATAATTTATCTCTTGCTGAGCACTCAGCATATTTTGACAGTTTCCCAACACAGCATTGATGTTCATACACCAAAACGTCATAGTCCAGCATTACTACTATTTCTGTTGCTGAACTTTAGCAATGAGTCATGCAAGTTGTTAGGGATATTCAGTTTCTTACTATATAAAGAGTTCCAACTCTGGTATTTTTTTCAACATAACAAAAAGTTCCTGAGATGTGTTGAGATTTATTTTAACTATGTTTAAAATCTAAACTCAAAACTAGTAAAAGGTGCCTTATACTATTAGCAATACCAACATGTATATAACAAAACACTTTTAACTGAAAAGGGAAATACTGCATTAATTCAGATACTATATATAAATTTAATATGACTCCATTTTGTATGTTACAGTTTTCAGATAATAATGGTTTTGATAAGTAGGTTACACTGTTCTTACATAATTAATTATATATGCTAGCATACAGAACCAATCCTATCCCTATTGAGATGTATATAAAATTAAAAGGGAATGAAACTCAGGAGAAGACAGAAAGGCCGGTAACCAACTCTGTTACATCAAAGAGAGTCAGATAATACTATGCAATACAATATCCTCCAACTTACATGGATGTTTGTTTCAAACTCATAGGTGACATGGGAAAAGACAGCAAGAGCAGGGAGGGACACCAGAATTGCACCGATGAAATGTCGAGGCAGCCAGCCAGCAATCACCTCCAGGAGACGCTTAGTGCAAGTCATCACCTCCTCCAGAAAGAATGCCATTCTGAAACAAAAGCACTCAACTTTAACTTTTTCCAACATATCAGCCAACATGCCGTATTCACCTATACGAATATGGTAACTCTAGTAGCTATAGTCCTGGGTTCATAACCAGTCACAGAACAATCTCCAGTAGTCACTTGTGTGCATTGGTAAAAGATAAAAGTTATTTTATTTTTCAAAAACTGAAAAAATGTCATTAGCAATTAAGAACATGTGAAAAATAGGTGTCTGCCATTTATTAATTTTAAAATTTTCATTAAGTTAAAGAATTTGTTTCAAATACGGGTGCCCAACTGGTGGCATCTGGCAGTTAATTTGTGGCCCTGGGGGCTGCTGCTGCCTCCAGCACTCTAGCTGAAGCTGCAGCCACGTTCTCCAAGCTCCCTCTATATCCTCCAGCTCCCACTTCCTGCCCCTGTGTACATAAGAAGGTGCAGGCAGGTCGATGCATAGGGTGCAGTTGGGGGATGGTGTCCATGTGTAGGTTACAGCCAGAGAGCCATGGCTCATGCTAGTATGGCCCCTGCTGGTGTGGCATATACACGAGACCCTTGGCCACTTTGAAACTGAACAGTCCTGGTTTACAGTAACATTACAGGTGCTTGAAATGTGGGGCTGTATGTGCTATTAGCAAATCTGTGAATGTTAACTGCAGACTTAGAAACGGTTCAAGTATTTGATTTTCTAACATTTTAAAACCATCAGAACCAGCTCTCCCAGAACATTTCTAACATTTTAAAACCATCAGAATCAGACTTAGTTACCTCTTATTAAGGAACTTGAGGAGGGTACGGGTTGACAGCTGGCACCATTAACAGGACCCTCAGTGTACAAAAAGAAGTCATGCTAAGCACAGCTGAGGGCACCTGACACCTCTCACACTTTTCTTCTGGCCTGTTTGTATTTATTATAGCAGCCATCAGTGCAGCTGGCACTGTACAAAATGCTCCTGAAGAAATGGTTCTTACTACAAGGTGCTTACTACCACATTTACTTGCATACCACATGCACCCTTCCCCTCAAAATTAGCCATCCAAAATTATGGGGTATGTTTTAAGTGTGGAACTTGATTTCTGTGCCTGAATGAAGACATGGGGACACTGCAATGGCTGCCGGAGGCTGTGTTGCCTCTCTAGGCACATGCAGGGGGGCAAAGTCCAGTTCTCTGCCAAACTGGCAACAGCTTTTGGCTGTGAAGCAGCAGCAACTGTGACAGAGTTAAAGTTTTGAGCAAGGAGAGGGGGTGAGTGATTAGGGGTGTGCGAAGTGGGCCCTATTCTATTTGGATTCGGCCCAAATCAGGACAGTGATTCGATTCGTTGATTCGGATCACTGTCCCTGATTCGATTTGGCCAAATCTGAATCTGAAGATTAGATGCTGATTCAGAGAATCAGGGATTTGGACACAGACACAGCTTTAAATGTTTTTCTACATACCTTGAGGTATCAGTGTGGCTTGTGAATGCTGTGATGCTGGGTGAATCCCACAGGAGTGCAGGGGGGGCCCTCCACGTGCTTGGTGGTGAAACCCGAAGTAGTTCCGGTCCACTTCTGGGTCCTGGATGCCCCCCTACTCCCCCCAGACCCAGGAGGCACCAGTCACCAAGCTGGGGGGACGCGAGCCCCCTCCCCCCCATGGACCTGGAAGTGGACCGGAAGTACTTCTGGTCCACTTCCAGGTCTGCTGCTGAGTGCGCTGGGGGGCCCACCGCACTTCTGTGGGATTCTCCTTGTGCCCCAGCATTGCAGTATTCACAAACCGCCTGGTACCTTGAGGTACGTAGAAAAAACATTTAAAGCTGTGTCTATGTCCAAATCGCCGAAACTTTCCGAATTGATTCGGAGGGCTCTGATTTGATTTGGAGAGAATAAAGGGTCCTCTGATTCAATTCAGGTTCAGAGATTCAGCCACTGAATCAGGGATCCAAGTTTTGCACAGCCCTATGAGTGATGCTATGTGTACAGATGCTAAGCACTGTATTCTTCCCCTCCTGCATGTGTCCAGGAGCACTGAACCATGGCGAGACCATGCTGTGGCAGGGAAGGCCTTGGAAAAATATTTTTTTCTCTATTCTGTCTTCCTAAAACAAGGTGCATGTCTTACTTGGGGATATGCAATATCCCAGAAAATAGGGCAGTTAAAGGTCCAAACCCATTTGCTGCAGCTACACATATCCTAGCTAATTCACAAGCCCTCATCTTCACAAGGGGTTAAAGACCTTAACCGTACAAAAATCCAGGTTCTACTGTATTATTACAGAATTTAAACTAAAGTGCATCTGTCTTTATATTGTTACATTAAACTACTCCTGTCTTTCTTAACAATATGACCAATTACTCGAAAGAGAGACACGGTTTTACATCTCATCAGTCATCACTAAAGACGACTGTCATATGAGAACTGCCTGCAACAACATTTAAAAAATATCTGGAATTTCAACTATTCATGGTTCTCATGCAGTGAGACAAAGCACGGGTACAGAGCATATGCCTACATGTCATGAAGCAGTGCCATACAGGGACATTCAAGTTAGGTCTTAAGGTGCTAGCCTAGGTATCAGAAGCAGTAAAGGTGCATTAGTATGGTGTTTTGCCCAAAGCGCTGTGCTAAGTTTCTCTGCAATCCAAGGATAATGCTTCTGGAAACTAAGCTAGCTCCTTCAGACCCAGCTTTGATATCTGTGCCTGATACTAGGCCTGTATGAAGCAGCAAGTATTCACTTCAGATTCAGATTCAGCTGATTCGGAGGGACAGTGATTCGATTCGGCTTCAGAGATTCGGCCATAGACTGTAACAGGGAATCACTAAAATACCTATAACTTTGTAATTTTCTTTGCTGATTCAGATGACAACAGCAGGGGTGGTAGCTGAGGGCATGAAGCCTGCCAAGTTTCAAGGAGACAGGTGCAGGGGTTTCTGTGAAAGTGCACCTCACACTGTTGAAAGTAAAACTCGTATCACTTATCTGTGTTAAGGCCGAGCGGGATGAAAATAGCAGGGATGGCAGCCCCTTTGTGTGCCCATGAGACCTTGCTGCAAACCTTCCAAATATCTGAATCTCTCTGAATCAATTTGGAGGCTTCTGATTCAATTTGGACCTTTTAATGGGTATCCCGATTCGATTCGGATTTGGATATTCGGCCACCAAATCGAGCCAAATCTCCTCTGAATTGAATCAGCTACCAAAGCTTTGCAGTACCCTACATGATACTGTGGTGTGTCATGTGTAGACCGGGGACTACTCACAAAAATTAGGTCACTTACCGGAACAAAGTTTCACATGTAGGCATCATAGAAATATGCAAAGAAAAATAGTCATACACTTAGAATTACTCAGCTCGTTCAGAAGCAAAAATGTCTTTTTCTACTATATTTTAGACTTAAATGAAAGGCATGATGGAAGTGAAAGGTGGAAGCTTGGCAGAGCTAAAGTTCTCTGGATAGATTTAACATTATTATTCTTTTTCTTTAGGTGGTCTGGTTGTTTGTTACTGTAAATCAATTTTGAATTTCTGAACTTTCTTTTTATAGTTTTTGTGAAGGAACTACAACATTTTTTTAAGGGTTCAAGGTTCCATTTCTTTTCTTTCCTCTTTTATTGTGTTACTCCATGTAGCAGGAACTGAAGTCAAGCCCTTGCTATGAACCAGAGAAGCTGGCCTGGCCAGGGAAGAACTCACCTGAGTGCACCCAGGAGAACCACATAGCCACAGGTGCACCAGGAAAAGGGTATGGGGGTAACCTGGGGAAGGGGCAGGCCTCCTAGGGCACAGGGTCACGCGTCTGGAGGAGCCCACCTTCATTGGCTCAGTGGACTGGCTGGGCAATTGAACAGAAAGCCAGAAGACAGATCAGCATTTGGCATCTCCCAGAGAGGGGAGAGTAGGGCTTAGGCATAGTGTTGTACATCCTGTGTGGAGATGTGAGATGCAGATGGCCGAACCAATGAGTCCCATAGAAGCCAGGATAAACCTCAAGTAAAGATCTGACCAACCTGACAAAGAGATAAACGCAATGGGTGGCCAGGTTCATAAGGGGCTACTCTGGCAATTTCGGGGCTTGGCAGAGTTGGGATCTGTATCTGAGGCACCCGGTAAAGGCACGGCAGTGTCAGGAATAGATAAGAGATTGGAAGAAAATTAATTTAGGGACTGAGAATGACCTTAGAGAAATGATCAAGAAGCAAGAAGGGAATTCATTTATGAATTATGAATGAGTTTATAGGAATGATTAGGAAGCATGAAGTAAATTAGTTTATAGGTTTGAATGAATTCGTGGGGGTGAATGGGAAACCCATAAGTGAGTTAAGTTATGGAGTTATGGAATGAATTTATAAGATTACTTAAAAGAAAAGGAGTGAACTAATTTGAGGACTCCAAGAGTGAATGTGCATAACATTATGTTTATAAATAACCAGTCGACATAACTTCTGGATAGTGATTTTGTGAAAGGGGAGAAAAGAGGAGTTAACTGACAGTATAAGGAATACGGAAGGAACCCAGAGAGAGGGGCCCAGGCTGGAACCTTAACATAGGACTGGTGAGAATCTTTCATGACAAACCTGAGCAGAAAGGGACAGGATGGCAGGGAGGTGGCCCTGCAGAAGAACCAGTGGCCTAGTCAGATGGATCTTCACCCAAGGAATTACCTAACCTCCCCACGAAAACCAAAACATCAAGGCATGGCAGGGGTGCGGGACAAAGATCAGGCATGTTCCAACATAAAGGGGACTTGAAGATCTATATGCACTTACACTGCAATTTAATACAAGCCTTTTTGTTTACATGGGAACACCTATCTATCTTCATAGAAAATTCTGAATAGCAAAAAAAAAAAAAAATGAAGGGACAGAGATGCACTGTAATTTAACAAGTGTCCCACTAGAGGGAGATACTAGACTTTTTAAACAGACTGGAAAATACAAAATCCGCTTAACAGATTTTCATTTAAGTACAAATAAAACAAAAAAAATCCCCAAGCACCCAACCCCCACCTCTCCA